GAATTATTACAAAGAAGAACAATAACGAGCCACAACTTACTGGAATAACACCATACTGGTCATTCTCTTGGTGAATTATTCAAAAGAAGACAATAACGAACCACAACTTACTGGAATAACACCATACTGGTCATTCTCTTGGTGAATTATTCAAAAGAAGACAATAACGAACCACAACTTACTGGAATAACACCGTACTGGTCATTCTCTTGGTGAATTATTCAAAAGAAGACAATAACGAACCACAACTTACTGGAATAACACCATACTGGTCATTCTCTTGACTTGCTTTTACAGGTCCTCTGAGTCCAGCACTCCCAACACGGGCATTTTCTTCATAGTTTTTTAATTCCAACAACAAGTTCTGAAGTTTTTAGAGAATGTAAGTGAACAGTATAACTTCAAGGTTGAAGCAAAAAACTGGAATAAAACAAGACTTCACCAATGTAAATGATACAGGAATGTTAGATTAGCATATACATACGTATTCTGTTCTAACAATCAAGACTGTGATATTATCAAACACATTACAGAGAGTAATGGTTAAGGATAATGTAACTTGATGGCAAAAATGGAAATTCAAATTATTTAACCCTACTAGGACACTATACGAGGATTCCTAATAGGTTATGTAACTTGTGCGATATTTCTTTACAAAAATATAGCTAGTGGATGAAATTGTTTGAAATTGTTTGTATTCAATTTTCATTTTTTCTGCTATTTCTACTAAAAATTCGTTAATTGATGTATTTATTTGCACCTGGAATCTGAATAGGTCATCTCCAAGGTTATTTTCATGTTAATTATAAAAATACTATTTTTTATTTTAAAGTTTTTCACATTTCACTTACATAATCTCTAGAACCTCCTAAATGAATGTCAAAAGTTTTTTTAAAGGTAAATGTTTATTTTTTTTCCGTTTTCTCTACCATATCCCTAATTCTAGCTATTATCATCAATGTACAGTGCAATGAAGTGTTTAAGATTAAGAAATGGAAATGAGTACTTACCTTTTAACTCTTCATTGAATAATCTTACAATATCTTTTTTGGGTAATTTCACGTCTTTACCTTTTCACAATTTTTTATCATATTATTTTACTTTCCTTTCCAATTCTTCATCTTTTAATATTTATCTCTACACACTTCAACAGATCTTCTCGGGTGATATAACATTATGATTGGCATAGAGTTGGCTTTAGCCTATGACATAATGGTAGAAGGAAAGAAATGGCTAGTTTCTGGTTTATCCAAATACTCTAGGGTAAACCTTATGGTAGAAGGAAAGAAATGGTTAGTTTCTGGTTTATCCAAATACTCTAGGGTAAACCTTATGGTAGAAGGAAAGAAATGGCCAGTTTCTGGTTTATCCAAATACTCTAGGGTAAACCTTATGGTAGAAGGAAAGAAATGGTTAGTTTCTGGTTTATCCAAATACTCTAGGGTAAACCTTATGGTAGAAGGAAAGAAATGGCCAGTTTCTGGTTTATCCAAATACTCTAGGGTAAACCTTATGTCTACACACTTCAACAGGTCTTCTCGGGTGATATAACATTATGATTGGCATAGAGTTGGCTTTAGCCTATGACATAATGTTTTCTCTCGCCTCTTTTTATAATGCAGGAAGCGACGAGTAGAAAAACTTAAATAACCATTAAACCTTTCAAATATAAACCACAAATAATACACAGTTAACTAAAATATAAAAGTAAAACCTAAGTACAATTTCACTGTCTATCAAACTAAGTGCAGGAAAAAATAGTCAAGTGGTAGGGATGCTGCTCTCCGCAATGGACTTTTTTTTTTACTTCCTCTGTAAAATGCAAACATCAAACTTGTTAGGAAATACAGTGTGAAATTGGCTCTTTTTATTGGCTATAAGCATGGTATTCAGCTTAAAACTGTCGCTTAGCAACACAGCTTCTACTTGCAGAGGGTTTGGCTTATCTCAAACAGAAGAAATTTTTACAACCATTATCTCCAAGACAATTTCTTGAAATGTTCTCGAATACAGAAATGGTGTACTTTGAACATGTCAGAGAGAATGTCTACATTTACACACACTATTTCTTCTATACCAACTCTTTAAGTTGATGTTTGTAACTGCAAACACTTTACGTGAAAGAAGAAGCAAAATTTTAAATAACTGTTTTAGAGGTCTGTTTTGAAATAAAGGAATAGTAACTTAGACAGTATAAAACTTTGAATGATAACATACTTGATAATGATAATCTAATTAAAATACATTGGCAGTAAAGTGGTTGAACTAAATTTTGAATGTAATGTAGAAATGGGTTTAAAAATGGCATTGTCCTTATAGGGTAAATTTTTAACTTTTACGTCACAAATGTATTGATTCTGAGGAACATGACACCTAATGTATCATAGTGATTTAACAGAGTGACTTCATTATATGCTCAAAATAAAATATGTAATTACTGTATGAAATAACCAACTCACAGTTTCTGGAAATGACTTCAATACACTTTCTTACTAATGTTTAAATGATACATATGATAAAATACCGAAAAAACAATTATGCTTTTAAGTTAGAAGTAATACAGTAACCCTGATATTTTTGTAAAATCTATGCATTGATTTAGATTAACAAAGTTTTAAACTTATCTACAGAAATAGATAAAATTCCTTACAAACACCGTTAGTATTGTGTTAGCTTTTGATACAGTTAGTTTGTTTGTTGTTGTTAAGAACAAAGCTACACAATGAGCTATGTCCACCACAGGTACTAAAACCCGGTTTTTAGTGTTATAAGTCTTCAGACTTACTGTAAAGCCACTGGGAGCACTTTTGAGTTTGAGCCTTAAAACAGACAATGCTAAATTTCACACATAAATTATAAACTTTAAAACTTTGACAGTCACAGATATTTTCATCCTGAATATCACAACCTAAATAATATACATGAAACACCTGATGTGTGTCTGTGTTATGACACAAGTGATACCTATAACACTTTTCTCACAAAAGACTTGCCTGTTTTTTCTGGCTTAGTTCTCTGATTGTATCCTGCTCAAAGTTAGCATCCAAAATATGGTGTCTCAACTCAGCAGAAGTTGGCAAGTATCCTCGAACTAAACAGATCAAAAACGTCCAGTAAGAAGAAGCTTTTACCTAGTTCACAAAGAATAATATTTAAAACATAGGATATTTTATCTTCTAGTAAATCTTCTTTAATCTTTCTACATGCACTGAATGGTGGACTGTTTTGTTAGTGGCTGAAACAATAACATGACATAACAATTAACACTTTCAATACTGATTACACTTTGATATTTTACCCTCTCACTTAGAATAGCGTTTCTTACTTGAGCAAAATAATTATCAGAGCAATAACTTACGATTAACTAAAAAAAAATAACTTAAAAACAAGTATATTCTCAAACTTTATAATACTGCTCTAAATAAGGTAATATTTTCCAATAGAAAACTTTGCCCATGTTTAATATCCCTCCAGACAGTAACAATAACTACCATACTATTTAAGTTCATTATTATCCAAAGTAAAATAATTCCCTTTTACTGATATGTACCATTATCAATAAGAAAGAAATGTTATCTAAATAACCAAAAAAGGATTTCAGCTTACCTTCTCCATCAACAGCACAAAAAATCAGTTCTTCTTCTCCAGTCATTCGGTAATCACCTCTAGTGATTCCAGCAATACAGTGAGAAAAATTATCCTTGAAAACCAAAAAAGGATTCAGCTTACCTTCTCCATCAACAGCACAAAAAATCAGTTCTTCTTCTCCAGTCATTCGGTAATCACCTCTAGTGATTCCAGCAATACAGTGAGAAAAATTATCTTTGAAAACAACTTCCCCAGTCTGCGCATTTCTAGCATCAATCTGAAACAGTAATAAATATAAAGTCTTGATTTATGGAATCAAATCAAGTATCAAAACTAAACAGAGTTTTGAAAACATCCGTACGCATTTGACGAAAGAATATAAATCAGTCTAATAACTTTTTCATATCAAATTGAAATAATTCATATTGTTCTCAAAACTGTACTGTGGTCCAAGGCTCAGGGTTTTAAGATCCCTTCAGAGCAGATAGCTTTTCATGTATTTTAGAGTAACACACTGTTCAGACACGATTTATAGTCTGATAGACCAATCGAGAAAATACAACATAAATATCAATATACGAAGCAGACTCTACCTTTCCATTGCTCCAACCAGTAATAAGTTCAGGCACTCCATCTCCATCCAAGTCATAGTTAAATATGCTGATAGCTTGGTTTTTAGACTAAGAAAAAGTTCAGAACAAATGACTGAAGAACACATGAAGACATATAAGTAAATTCAGACTCCTACAAACTAAGTACAGAGTTGATAACATACTATAAAAGATAGTATTATGCACTATTATAACCATTTATATATACTTTTTAACATATCAACTGCTTTAAATAGCTTAAATTTACAAAGACTTCAATGCAGTGCTAAACTCCAAATAATTTAGTATACTGACCCAGCAAGTATATTTGTTACTCACGTACAGAATTCGACAAAAAAAAGTTTGTTAGTTATTAAATACAAAGCCTATCTGTGGAATGCAAACCAAAAATATCGAAACCCGGATTTCGGCATTATAAGCCTTCAGATTTACCACTGACCAACTTGGGAATTGGATAAAAAAACAACACCTGTTTAAAGATGTGCTCTTTCTTCTCCAGATGTTAAATAGACTATAGATCCTCAGCTGACTGATTAATTTATTATTGTTTTACGGTTTATTTAAACATAAGTAACTGATTGTCGAGCAACGTGGGGAACAAACACAAGTTCCTAAAAGATACACTGAAGAATTATGTCCCATTCCTCGAGGACACAATACGACATCAAGAATGCTTCTTGTTCTGTCATGGTCTTACAATCACTACTACATTCACCCAATGAGATTTATGGGATAATTGCCATGTTGTGATAAACTTTGATACTGTTCCTCTTGTATAGCCAAGATGTTGTGGAATATGGGTTTACTAAAACCCCTACTCACTTGACTTTTACTTGTCCTACTATAAAGAACTGAAGCAGCCAAAGGTGAAGAAACATTGCATTAAGCTGCTTTCAATCAATGTTTTGACTTCTTTTATTCTACTCCTATGTATATAACTCTCGTGTGTAACACTAAGATCCACATTTTTACTTTCAGTCAAATAACATAATTAATATTCCATTACACAAATAACACATTTGATGTTAAGATCCACTGTGTTAGATGTAGATTTTTTTTTTGGAGCCAAATAACACAAGTTGTTTGGCATTCTATTAATTTTTCTCTTTTCATGAATAACAACAATAAATATGTAAAAATACCAATTTGAAACTGAACACCATGTGACGTGTTTGTTATGATTAAGCTTTTATTAAATTCATTTATATGCTCAGGAATGATATGGTTAAAATAATGATCTGAAATACAACCTCAACTTAGCAAAGGTTACCAAGATCAAAATATAACCTGAAAGCATACACTCCAATCTTGCACAGTTAATAATGGTTCAAATATAACCATAAATATTAAACATAACCTAGAAATATACACTCCAATCATGCAAAGTTAATAATGGTCAAAATATAACCTTGAAATATACACTATAATCTTGCAAGGTTAATGATGGTTGAAATATACTGTACAATCTAATAAAGTATGGTTATTTTCATAAACAATGTTGACTGACAAAAAGTTAAGTATGGTTATTTTCATAAACAATGTTGACTGACAAAAAGTTAAGTATGGTTATTTTTCATAAACAATGTTGACTGACAAAATGATAATCTTCAATATATTTTTACAAGCTAATGTTCAATGTTATTAACATATTAAATTCAAAAGCAACTCCCTTCAAAACTTTTTTCAATGAGTAGCAAAAAAAAACCTTTTAAAGGATAAAAAATAATGAGTTATTATGATTACAAGACCTCAAAAGATTTTTGCCAATGTTTCTCCATTAAATTAAACTATTTCATCGAATCATCCTACCTTAATTCTCCAAGCTCTCTCACCCTGATGATACACTCCAACAGTCCCATTGGCCAAGGCATAACCAAAGTAATTTCCCAAAACAGGACATAAGCCAATCACAGCTTCTGTTTCTGTCATCTCGGCTATGATTTCATCACCTTTGAAAGCTCGTATATCAAAGTCTTCAGATCCAACTAACAGCTTAAGAAAAAGGTTTCACTTGAAATATTACCCAAAAAGCCAAGTCAAATCGAGTTTTCAAAAATACAAGTTGATGCATAAATTTATTATTTTTTTAGAGAATAATTTAGTAAACCACAACCTATAACCTTGTTGAAACTCAAAGTAAAGGAGCTTAAAAAATAACCGTATATGTGTCATTTTATTGGAACAACATGAAATCTGACAATTAGAGGAAGTCATTAAATAACATTCCACTTTTTTTTTAATGCATAGAAACACCTGCTTAACCCTATATGCAATGCAGGGTCAAAGTGCCATTGTTACGACCTTTTACAGAACAAGATTCAAAATTATTATTATTATCAGTGATAGAGAAAATCAGAGATAAAATATAGTTCTATAGAAAACAATTCCAATATTCATTTAAGAGGTTCTAGTGGTTATGGAAATGAAATATTAAAACTATCAGATAAAAAGAAGTATTGTTATTCTTAGCATGAAAATCACTTTCACTCTAATTGAATAAAATGATCATCCAAGATATGATTAAACAAATACTACAGTACTCTTCTACAAAACAGTAACAAATACAAACATTAACAACTGCTCGATAAATGCAATGTTTCTAGAAATTCATTTTCAAGCAACCCTATCATTGCCAGATATTATTTCAAAACCTAACTTATAAACCAACCACAACTAACTATTCTTTAATGGAAAACACCGTGAATATGAGATAAGTATTGGAAACTTACTTCATTTTGCCCATCTTCGTTGAAATCACAAAGTGACATTGAGCTAACATTATCCCCTGTTACCTGAAAATCAGATTGATTTATTTTTAGATCATAAACATTATCCTAAAAACTACCCCCCCGTTTTGTGGCTTGGAGAAGTATATACAAATAACTGTATACACTGCTCTTGAAAGGTTAAGGTAGCAGAAAATTATATTTCATTTCTTATTTTATCATCTCCGAAAATGTTAAAAAAGTAAAACTCATATAACTTTAGTTATTTTAGAATATTTAGAGAAACCAACTACAGTATGTAGTAGTTTACTATTAGCATATATTGTTTAATGTTTATGTTTTAATCTGCAGGCTTGAATCAACATTTTACCACATAAACACACACACGAATACAAAATTCAGGACTAGAACTTTCCCAAATATTCTATACTTTAAAGAAAAAACAATGGAAGAATTGGATAAAAAAAGCTAAATACACAAGTCCTTATATAGAACGGTATTTCATGACATTTTTGGATTATTTTGATTTTCGTACTAAATAAATATAGCATAACGAAATTTTATTTTTCTTCAATGCTAAGACTTCATTCTGAGTATCAAATAGTAAAGACTATTGTTTCTATTATTCAAAGTCACAAGCATTAATTGTATGACAATGGACATTAATATACAAAACACAATGAAGGAAAAACAACTAATCAAAAGGTTTTTATTTTGTTACTAGAACGTAGAATTCAATTTGAGGAAAAATCTGCCTCTTATCAAAATGATTAATTAAACTTCTGCTTTTAATTTCAACAAATTACTTACAGTCCAGAATGAATCATTGCCTTCATTATCAAAACCTTGAAGGGAACAGTTACCTCCCACTATAGCCAAGGGTTTGTTTACCCCACCAATCCTTCCAACAACTATACAATTAGCCCCATCAGCGACCTGTTAGAGAGTATCAAAAATGAAATTAATTCTTAACCGTTCCATGATATAAATGAATCTATAAAGAGGTATGTCCACATTAATTCATCTTGTCTTTACTAAATAAAATATTTCTTTATTAAAATTCTCAAGAACTCCCACATAATTAGGCATTTACACAAACTGTGGACTTCATTATTAACAAGAAATTTTCACTGAAAATGGTGCATTTTGATGGCATTTGAGATTTTACACTTTTTAAATATGTTTTATACATCCATGCAAGCATTTAGTGCATTGCTTGCAAACAAACATTTAATACCCACAATCCTTTGCCACTGTGAAGTATTTAAATATATTTGTGTACCACATATGTATATATATTATATATATATTTTTTATAAGATACCTAAGACTTTTCCTCTCAATAAACCAAATATTCGACTGAATGATCAACTCAAATAATTCTTAAACTGTGAATGCTAAGCCTGACATACCTGCTCTTTTACTACTAAGGGTTAACCAATTCAGAAACATTTAATTTGATAATTTTTTATTCTATATATCTTAGAATTAATTTTACAACTACAATCTTTAATGAGTTAATTTTAATTCTGAAAAGATTCCAAATGTTTTTTGCAGACTTTAATAAATTTTCATTCTTATCTGTTGTTTTTCTCTCTCATTTTTTAGCCTAATCAGGCTGATTGAACTTTATAACTTCTTCCTGTTCTTGAAGTAAATCACTCAAGTTGATTAACATTCATTGAACAACTGAACTGATCTGACATCAGTATTTAACAATATTGTACACATTTTTTTATTTTTCTTGTTTTTATTTACAAATAATGAATCCACACAGAATTAGGCTTCATTTTTTTACTTTCTCTTTAGTAGTATACTATTTTTTCTCTTTATATTCTTAAATTATCTTCAGCACAGAACAAACTAACACTACATTTCTAATATGTATATAATTTTTAATTCAAGTCTTTCTCAAAAATGAGAATACACCTACCTCTCTATAAAACAAGTCAGAATTGTTTTCAACATCATAAGCTAGTAAATTCGTAGGGGTTCCTACCAACAGCACTTCCTCTATAGATCCTGGCTTTAAAATACCAGAAGCAACAGAAGACACTGTCTGATTGATATTAAGCAAGCTAATATCATCAGATTTACGGCTTCCTGCTGACCAACGTCCTCCTGATTTAAGAGATCTTGTATGTGGGTTGTGGACAAATATCTAGTGACCATAAAAAATTCTCCATCACAGCAGTATCCTTAAAGATTTACAATCTTAAAAAAAAAAAATTAATTTAATTAATTCACTCATGTGACAGAAAGGATAAAATATGCCTTCCTTGAGATATACTTCTATAGTTCTGAGAGGAAAGATATTCGTATATCACTGAGACTTATTGGAGACAATTATACATAAGTTTTTAAAATGTCTCTAGTGGCTTTGACTTCTGAAACAAAACACTAACTTCTGTGTTTGTTTTACAAAAATATTGTTAATACATTTCAGGCAAATTAATTTTTGGACACCTATCTAAAAGATATAAAAAGACTTCTGAACTTTTTGTATTTTCCATGTTGTAAAGACTGATTGTATAAATATCCCCAATAAGATGGATTTCCTTACAATGAGGAGATCACTCAAATTATGTAATTAAAAAACCCTATTATAGCAGGCATCTACTAATTAATCATAACCTTTTGATATTCTTGAAGAAGATAGCGTAGAATGGAAAGATTTTTCAGAGTAAGGAATAATTGTTCGCATGATGTATAAAATCCCATTTTCTGATAACTTGCATTACATATAACTTAAATAGGTAGCTATACTCGTTACCAAATTGATTCTTAGTTCTGCTCTAAGTATGTGAATTGTTCTGGTCAGAAATTTATACCGACTTTTTCACAAATTGGATTGCATTTGTTTTTTTTATCTTAAATGCATAGAAATAAAAAAAATATTAGTAGCTCGGTAGAAGGAATACAGAAAATGATCCTCGTGGAAACACATTTGGATAAATTTTGACTGATATTAACTCCTAAACTTTCATGTCAGAAATTAAATATTTTCAAACGCAAGTCAAGATAGCTGTCCTAAAGTGTGGTGTTTGAAAAATACTCTCTTGAAGTTTTCAAATCATAAAAATTTATTTTGGTGAACTAATTAACATTTTTTGCAACTGCAAGAAAGCCAGTAGAGGTGTCACATACAGTAAATGACAACAGGGATAGGTGGGTGGTGGAATCCTCCCCAAAAACTTCTGTCCCGGTTTTCATAAAAAAAAATTTCTAAAACTCATCAACTCATAAAAAAAATCACAGCTTAAGATATTCATTACATAATTATTTTTTTAAACTCTTGACAACTGGAATATCCGAAAACCTCCTCTAGTTTTATGTTGTACAAACACACGACTTCAAACAGATCCTCAGAATTCCAAAACAAACATAATTTTGTAAATTTTCATCAAAAAGAAACTTTGATTACCACCAAATGTTGCTGAAACAATTACTGCCTTTATGAGTCATTGTAAGAGAAATGGATTATTGTGAAAACATTCAACAGCACTGATGTGAGAAATACAGAATCAAAATATACATATTTCAGTGTTTATAATAGCATTCACTCAATCCCATTAGAAAGCATTATAGTAGGAAAACGGGAGTAGAGAATGGATGAAATATCTTGGTTAAATGTTAACATTCAGCGTGATTAACAAATCAGCACATAATTCACTCTCAACCTGGGGTGTGCCAAGTTTGGCTCCCTGTATGTAAGTGTGCACAGAGGAGGGTGCAAGTTGTATACAGTGTGCATGAGGGGGGCTTCATCCCAAATTATTGGAAATAACTGCACTACATGAAAACTCTAAAATACAGTATATAAATATGTAACTACAGTTGAACAGAAACAAGCTTCTCTTACATCCAAGACAGCACTAATTAATGGTAAAGTTTAATAAAAGATAACAGAGGTGTGGGAAAGAGGGTTGAACTGCCACCCCAATATTCTAAAATGCCATTTACAACTCGGCAGCTTTCAACTAAGATCTTCTTTCTTTTGCTCTCTTACGTTTCAAGTACTTTCAAGTTTTATATCGACTAAAGTATGTCACTATAAAACCTTTACACAGAGGAACTGGTTCACATTTTTAGACCCCCTACTCTTGCAACTCTCCTGCATTAACGGAAATAAAATTATTAGTTTATCATTATTGCTTGGTTTCAACTCTCATGACTAATACTTGTAAATCAAACAGTTTGGTACATTCAGGAAGGAATTATTCAAATATGAAAAGCAATTGTTCAAACAAAAACAAGTTGAAGCTGTACTATAAATTATGTAGGCCTTTTTTTTAACAATTTCAGTATATACATATAATTTTACAGAATAATATACTTTTCTCAGAGTTTAAGAATAATATTACCTTTAATGTTTCACTTTTCAATGCAAAAGTGTAATTCAAATATTTATTGTTAATGTTGATTAATGTAGATCACTGAAGTTTGGTATTTAGTGAGTACAACTGTATTATTTTTTAAATATTAATTTCTAACACTTAGCAAAAAACTTATTTAAATAATAAAGCAAGACAGACATGAGAACAACATGGAAAAAAATGTTGTATTTTCAAATTGTTTACCATCACTTCATACAGCATAGTAACCAATCTACCTTATCTGCAGCTGTAGCCGCAGTAAGACATGGATGAATGCCATCAAACTTTCCAATAGTCAATCTATGCGGGAGAATCTTGTGGTTAAGATTCAATGTGAAAACTGGCATCAACATGATGAACAACTAAGACCCTGAAAATAAAATAGGATATATAAATAAAAAAATTAATATTATTTATAGTTTACATTATAAATTCCACTACTTTAACAAAAAAATCATAGATATAAGAATGCACATAGCAACAGAAGATTATAGTTCTGTTAGAAAAAGACCAAGTGTGCTCTTGTTGATCATGTTATTACTTTCAATTTTTCAAACCACTGTGGATGATCTTTGAGTACTCTTTTTTTTTTTAACTAATTATTATATTTTAATGAGATAAAAGCATATTTAAATACCACATATTTTAAGTTTGGATAACACTTCTTATTCCAAACAGTAATATATTTTTAATTTGGATATCATAGTGTTTGGACAAGGAAAAAAAGTCTAATAATAATATTCATACATAAACTGGTGATAAAGAAGGGTATATATAAACAAAAATCCACATCTAAATCAAACAATGTGAAAATGTAAAATTTTAAAAACAACATTCACACTATTACTAACTTTTAAGAAATACAGTTTTGCAACCACATTTTTAATTAAAACTAACTTGTATAAAATATGACGTTCAATTTGAACTTCAAACATTTTCTATGACACCGACAGTTTACATTTATAATTTTATATCTAATTGTAAACAATCAGCGTTATAAATTAATGCTATACTAATCAGTATACAAACTTTAGTTTAAATGCAATACAATTAACACCAATTCAGATATACAATTAATTTCTTTACAATTTGAAAATGTAACTCTGCTGACACGACATTGACAGAGTATAATCAATGGTTATATGATATTGACAGATACTATGCTACTGCTAGTTACTAAGTTAAAGTGTACTATTAGGCCTAAAGAAATTATTAGTTTAAAAATAATAATGAGCAAGATAAAATTCATTCCTTTACTAAATATCATATTATACATTCGTTACCTACGATTTTTCTTGTTTTGTTAATTAATACTGTAGTTTTTCTACTTTAGGTGTTACTAATTTTTATAACATGTTAAAGAATCCTATACTAGTTATGCCCAATCTCAGTAGAGAGCGCTTTAAAATTATCACTTTTACAGTCGAAAGTTTGGAGCACGTTCAACGGCAAATCGTGAGCTCGAACCTTCCCGTCATCAGTCAAGTCCAATTTTATTAAAATTAATTTTTGGTAGCTTCATTATTTTGATAATTATAGCCTGTTGCCGTGTGGTAGGAAATCTAAACTTGCGCAACAAATTTAAATAAATATCTCATACCCTAGCCATATAATAATAGATGTACAAGCTGAAGAGCAGCAAATAATGAGATTCATGATTAAATAAAAATAAAACAATGATGTTTGTTTTGTTGAATTACGAGTAAATCTACACGAGTTGTATCTGCGCCAGCTATGCATAAAAGTGATAGACTAGAGAAAAAGCAACAAGTCAACAGCACCCACTGGCATCTCCTGGGCTACTCTTATCAGACCGAATAGGGGGATTTGATCGTCCCTCTTATAATGCACCGACAGCCCCAAAGTGCAGAGCACGATTTTGTTTTGGCGGTAACGATAGGTGAACTATTGATTTGCACTCGACAAAAAACAAAACAATGATAACTGGGCATATTATAAAAGTGATAGTTAATTCCATTTTTAATCTTTTTTTTTTCAACTTCTTTTAGTTTTCTATATAGTTTCTCTTGGTTTTCTTTTAATTTTCTGTGTTGTTCTTCCCAGTCTTTTTTAATTTTCTGTCTTGTTCCTCTAATTTTTAGTCTCTTTCTTCTTGGTAATATTTTAATTTTCTGTCTCTTTCTTCTAATTTTTTATGTTTATCCCTTCTAAATCTTGCCTTAACAATACCATCATTTCAAGTAATCCTTCAATCTTCCAAATCGACCTTGTGGTCGCCATCTGTAGTTGAAATTCTTGCTCAAGTATATTTCAAGTTTTGTTATATATTCACCCACAAAAATCCTACTTCTGACACCAAATTGTTGTGACGTAATTCTTCTTTTGAGGGGTTCTTTTAAATTATATATTGAAAATAATTATATTATCACAACCAGTCTACTTGAGACGAAATCAATTTATTTCCGGTTATAAACGTTTATGCAAGCTTAACGTTGAACACTGTTATAAAACTTAAATTGTTTAGGCCTACAAATGACAGTATATTTCTCTAAAATAGTACTAGGACTAACGTGCAATCAATCCACTTACTTCTAAATAGAAGCGCGATAATACTATCTTATCTCAACTAATTAGACACTTCATGAATCGTCGTTTTATAATTTACCTTTGTTTTAGAGACTTCTGTGACTATCGTGAGCTTAAAGTCACATTACGCTATCAAAAACCCGTAGCTCTCTTGCTAGTAAATAAGTTATAACATTAAATATATAGCTTACAACATTACATTTGCTTGGTTATCGACAGGATTCTTGATCGAAGCCTTTGTGGAGTTAGTATGGTCTGTATGGTGTGCAACGAAGATAAATAAACTGATAAACAGTATTTAACATTATCAGGGCCATTCTTCTACCATAAACATTAAATATTTATTGACACTATATATATATACATAAATATATTCACGTTTCAAAATATATCGGGTACCTCTACAAGTATGCTTATGAAACTGATTAATTTCTCTATAAGCTCTGCTTTTCAGTATAAAATGATTTTACTGTCAGTGACACTTTCGAAAACACATAAAAGATTTAATTTCAATGTAAACTTTTCATTATATGCTCTAAAATTCAATGAAGTTCACAGAGTTTGAATTAATTACAATAATTGGAGTTTTACAAAGTGTGGTATATTGCAAGACATTGATTGTGTCCTGAGATATATATATAATTATTTTGATAAACTATAAACATAAATATTATATAGGCATCATTTATTTAACTGTAACATTCTTATTGCAACTGTTTCAGGAATGATTAGTTTCATATATATATTATTTCCTTAAACATTCTGCTATAATTCTACGCTGAATTTCTTCACGATAAAGTGTAACTAGAATTGATCACTAGTTTCAGTCTAAAAGATTCTAAATATTTAGAGATTTGAAGCTGAAAATAAAAAAGTTGACTAATCTTCATGAAACGATATTTTTAGAGGGCGCAACGATCAGGTGTTATCAAATAGTTATAAAACACAGGTAAAGTTCAGCAGCGAAGAGCCATTATAACAATGGCCGTGAGAGAAACGTACTCAAATGTCAGTACGGTTAGAAGAATAGTCGACAATTTAATGTGGATGTCAGGTATGCATAAGCAGAAGTTATATACGATATGAAACATTCCATTATTTTATTTATTTTAAGCCACTGTTAATGTTAGTTGATACATCAGGTACACAATATCATATATGAGAATAGTGAGATTAGGATTTTATTTTTAGGCAGGATACGTGTATGATTTCTTATGTGTTGAATGATAAAATTTATGATAACTCAAGATATCCCAATGGCAGTTAAAAACTTTCTACAGGCAAATCAATGTTGAAATTATTAATCATTTTAAAAAATAAACGGTATTACACCAGATAAATGGTTTCCGATTAAGCGTTCTACGTTTCGTTTTTAAACCTTTTTATTCTGTCATACCAGCTTTCAGCTGTTAAAAATCAGTCTCTGTCACCTGGTAAATCTTATAAGTTTTACTTTTGATAACTACGGTCTTACTTGTATTACTAAGACTAGGAGCTGATCCAATTAAGTTATAAATAGGGGTGTGTATCTTGTCATAGTAGTCGATACGATACGTATGTAGATAATGATGCCTCGATACTATCTAGATACAGAAGTTTTACCAACGGTTTGTTACAAAGTTTAGTCTTATCTGGAATTTATTATCTACAATATCTTATTTAAGTACTTCTCGGCTTTGATCAACTAAATGACAGCTTGCAAGAGAAGTAAAAAAAAAAAAGTTAATACTTGACTATCTATTTTGTTATTGTTAATTTGTTATGCTACTTTACATGTAATGTTTTTGAAAAAAGAAATGAAGACAACACGTAGTACTTTAGTACTTAATACTCATCTTCTTTTATTCAATCATTAATTTTTAGCAGAAATACTTTATTAGAAATTCTGATTTCTTCTGTACAAAATACTTAAAATGTTTACTGAAAGCTTGTCAAATTTCGTGAAGATACATAAATTGTATCGTATCGGACAATGTATCTATACTAGAGAGAAATATGTTTAATATTTAGTACAAATAATAATCGTAACTGTTTTTATCTAGAATAATAAATTATCTCGTAAAAGCTCAATTTTTACTCGTCTGTCTATTCTTTCTATATAGTATATATATATATATATATATATATATATATATATGTATGCATTGTCGTCTTGTTATAGTAATGTTGTTCAAATGGAAATGAAAAGCTTTAACTTAAAGACCTCCACCTCAACAAACTATAAATTACAGTATAATTATGTTACTTACGATTAATTTTATAGCTAGTATGCCTTTCTTGAAAATTAATGTTCCCCCCCCCCCAATTATCAATGTCGGAATATCTCTAAGAAAAGTTAATTAATTTGGTAATTATTTCATTTTAACTTTAGAAAGTGTATTTGTTTAACTTGTAGCTGCAGTAGTGAGCGAATCATGAATTAAAACTTAGTTTTACATTATCTGTGGATACTTGTATACTTGAAAACCAGCTCAGTTCTCATCAACTTTATGGCAGACTTTTACAATGCATCGTGAAAATTTGCATTTTTTTATCTTAAATATAAACATTAAAGGTGTTTAAACAAGTCCTATTTTAGCACAGAATTTTTTTTCCTATAAAATACTATATCGTTCAAAACTGTATAATATAACATGCCATGGTCTAGGCGGTACTGTAGAATATAAACAACAAAACAGGTCATTACTAGTGGCATATAACATAGAACTAGAAATACTAACGTTATACGTAAATAGGACTACGGTCAAAGACACACTGACCTAATAACTATCTTATGGTGTGCTTAATGAAGTAAACAAAAAAATGTAAGGCACGATAATCTAGTTGGAATGCACACGTATATCTGTCCTTACGTGTGTCATCACGCACATTTTAAAAACACTTTTTAATTTACCTTCATTTTACAGTGTGCTTGCTTCTTTAGTTAGGGTTAGCACGTGAAGAAGGATTATGTCCGGTAGTGTTGAGAGCCAGCACGGTCGCCCCTTCTCTTCGTTTTTTAAACATTTTAAAGAACTTATTAAAAAGAAGATCCTAAATTACGATAGCAACGAGCTCATAAACAAGACAAAATCGTAGCAGCAGCCGTTTTTAGCTCACAGTATAAGCGTAAAAACGTTAATAAAGTAACAACAAATGTCTACTGAATCTATAAAGTAACAAATATATATTAATTATTATTTCAGTCATTCTTAATGTATCAAGCGTCTGTATGCAAAGAAAAACCAAAAACTATGCTTTTTACGATTAAATTAAGATATAGCCTAAAGGTGCTTTGCGACCTTTACGGCATAACCATGTTTCATTCGCCTGGACCCCTGGGTAGTTGCACCCTCTGTCGGTGGGCCTGATCGTGGCAAAAAAAAACGAAAACATTTTCCGTATTTTAAGATTATAGATAATTAAATTTCCACATCACAGAGTTCTAAACTTTCAACAATATTTTGTTGCTATTCAGAATGCGTTGTTCGTACTGGAGAGATTTAGATGTTTTGACAATAAAGTTAGAAAAAACAAACGATCTTTACTCCCCAACTAATAAAAGAAATTTTTTATTTCGGCCAACGTTTCGCTGATTGGGGCTAGCAGTACAAGAATAATATGTTAAGTAACTGCGTTAGACAAGTTTGTAACATTATATTTAATTATTTAATGTTAAAACAAGTGCGCTCACAACAACCATAACAAGTATATTCCTACTAAAAGTGTAAGCTTTCATTTGTAGGTAAAATGTAAACTACAAATACAGTAGTCAACGTTTGTTAGGGATTATGTTTTATTTTGAGTATATGTCAAACACCTACCACAATGGTAAGTATAGATTTAACATTTTAGGAAGAAAAACACCTGGATAAGTCATTTTTGCACTTTATTAAATTCTGTAATGTTTAACTTGAATAACACAGCCTGAGGAACTGATGCATCCTGTGGTACAGTGTTAACAAGAGATATTTCAAAATCAACAGTCGTTGAAAGAAGTGTCCAATTCACAGTCGAGATTATTTCAGTAGTCTGTTGGACCACACCAAGCATTAATGACTGCTGCACAACGTCTGCGCATGTTCATGATTAGATTAGCCAATCGCTGTTGTGGAATCTGTTGTCATTCCTCAGTAAGGGCAGCTTCCAGGTCCTGGAGCATTCTTGATGGGGCTAAACGAGCTTGTAGCCTTGTCTGTAGCTGCTCCCAGATGTGCTATATTGGGTTGAGGTCAGGAGACCTAGCTGGAAATTCCTTCAGCTTCCAGGAAGGCAGTCACTGCCCTTGCACGGTATGGACGCGCATTGTCATCCACAAGCAGAAAGTCTGGCCATGTTGCACCTGCATATGTACGAACAATGGGTGAAAGGATAACTGTATATATATATATATATATATATGTGTGTGTGTGTGTGTGTGTGTGTGTGTGTGTGTGTGTAGTATATATATATATATATATATATATATATA